GAAAACAGAAATCCAGATGCTGATGATTTTGGTATTTGGATTCTTTAGTGGCTGTTTAGATAGATTTGAATGATTTTGCTTCTACCTTATACACAGTTCTTTTTCTGTGTTGGAAAGAAGTACCAGTGGATCAAAACTTGTGTTTCAGATATGCTGCACTGAGTAACTGCCCCTAAGAATATGTCATGATCTCAGCTGTAAAATAGGTTGCATTGTTCTTCCTCTGTCCATATCGAATACAGTTTGGAGCCTCCCTGTGCCAAAGGCCACTTGCCAGCTTGGATTTGGTTGAGAGTTGCCTTTGGTCTGGCTAATAGGTTCTTGTTTACCGGATTAGGAAATTAGTTATATCAAGGGCCCTACTTCCAATTGGAGGCAAGAGGCTTAAGCTTCAGGAAAGGATGGGCTACTCCTGTCTTGCACATAGTGAGCAGTACTACATGCAGGAGAGCAAGGGGTGCGGCCTGAAAGTAGCTGAAATCTGATGTGATTGTTCTTTTTACTAGACTCATTCAGTTTATCAGTATAGAAAGCATTTAATCTGTGTAGACTGATGGGCTGATCTGATGTGGGTTACTGGATACAGAGACACCTCCAACAAGTAATGCTGAAGAAAATATGACACTGTCTTGCTGGTTTTGTGAATGACTACTGTTAATCATCTTCTTGTTCTTATGAAGTGAGACTGTGTGAAGGGGAAGCAGTTAAGCACAAGGCTCCCTCTGTATTAAGTCCTTCATTTAAATCCTCTGAGTTGTTTGAAACCATTCCCACTGAGGTCAGTGGCAAAACTTGTCTGTCGTCGGTTCAGGATTAGGCTTAGGCACCCTGCACCCATTTTGACAGGAGAAATCTGAGAACATATTATTTCTCTTCCTAAATGTCAAGTTTTAAAAGGGGATGAGTTGGGAGGAGGGTTGCATGTTGCTTGCCCTGAACTGAATTTTTTTCTTCAGGAAGTTGCTTTTCTTCAAGGCCAGAGATAAATAGTGAAATGCTAGAAATTTCCTAGGCCCTGCCTTTCAGCTGTCTAATCATATTCTTCGCAGAGATGCTTAAGACTCTCTGCTATGTGCAGTGTTGCTTTAAATTGTCATTTTGCTCACTAACCCTTTTTACATCTACTTTTAACATGGCAAAAGGCAGTCACTGTTGAAACTAGTAGCACATCATTTTAGTCTTGATCCAAGTTGCCTGCCCATGGAGTGCCATGCCACAGTACACACCATGCTGGAGAGAAATGTAGCTGGATAGAAAACAGTCTGGATAGTTCCATCACAAGCAGTTTTTGTATTTACCCTTGATAGGATGCACATAACAAAACCTCATGATGTTTCAGGGCAGTAGCTGTTCCTATAGGATTTAGTGTATGACACTAAAAATAGATTTAACTCTGTTTTGTTGTTATGAGAGAAGTAATGTCACTTTTTTCTTCGTGAATTACATGCCTTGTAATCTGATCAGAGTAGATCTTCAATTAAAAAAGCTACAGAGGGGCTCGTGAGCAGAAATAACTGTTCATCTCCCTCCCCCTTTTCTTTCGTTTGTTGTCACTTTGCTGTCAGGTCCTTACCCCAGTTAATTCTCTTCAGCTGCATTCTTCTGCAAGTAGCAAGTCCTTTGGCTGTAAAATTAAAATAGAGGAGGAGAAAGGCAGCAATGTCTGAATCATTTTATAAAGTCATCTTGATCTTATCTCCAGCCCTTTCCGCCCAAACCCACCAAACTCTTTACTGAGCTGTGTGCCTATAAATAGAACAGCCGCTCTCGTGCAGAGATGGGCAGCTCTGAACCAGAGGCTTGTTTTCTCTGAGCAGTGTGTGCATGCAAGAGCTTGCTTGTCACTGGCCTTTCACGTCTTGAGTTATGTAGCTGTGAGGTTTTCTATAGATAAAGGCTGGCAAATGACATAAACTGCTGCTTAGGAAGGGGCAAGGTGGCCTCTGGGATTGTTGCCTTTCGGTTATTAAAAAAAAAAAAAAGAGGGTTCTGTTTAAAAGAGGAATGAAGGAATGCGCATCTTGTGCAGAGGTGAGTGAGCCCTGCCGACATGAGGGGAGCTGAGCAGGGCAGACGGGAGCAGTGGGAGCTGAGGACAGCAGAGGCATCGTTATGCTGTGAGTTACTGTTCTGGTGTGCTGGGCAAGAGTTTGAGCTGCCAGAGTGCTGCTGACTGAGCCTGGGGAGTACGGAGCTCTGGCTGACCCCAGTTTAAGCATGTCTGAATAGGCAGAGCTCTGAAATCTCCTGCAAGTTGCTATTTTTTGACATCTTTGGGCTTTGCATCCTGGGAGTCTTCCCCAGGATTTTTAATTCCTCTCGGACTTCAGGTCAGGGGTTTGCAGAGTTCAGTGGCTGCTTCTCCCTGTCTCATTTCTAAATTACATGTGCTGTTGTTAAAGAATGTGCTGTCTTAATCTGGAAAATCTCTTACCACTGTCCCATTTTCTTCCCTGCAGAAAGAACTGCAGAAAAGTGTGATTTCTTTAGCATGGTAATTTAGATGCTGTTGCTTTGCATTTCTCTTTGATACTCAGATGCTGGTGGTTAAAGTAACTCATCACATAGACACACACACACACATATATATATATATATATGCATATTCTAGCAGGACTCCACAGAGTTGATAGTACTGTTTGTTCCACTTGGCAGATGGGAGATGGGGACACACAGAATGAAAATAGCTTTATTGGGGTCTTGCAAAACGTCTGTGGCAGAGTAGGAACCTGAATGCAGATGGTTCCTGGTTCCAGATGCTTGCCCTCAGCTCAGGTCTCGCCTTCAGGGTCATTTCCACAAGTGATGCCGTTGAGTCAGTCTTTGAACTCAATTTCTCTTACACTGAAGCTTCAGATTAAGATCATGGCTGAGTTTCATATTCTTTGCATGGCACCAGCTCTAAGTTGGTTTAGGCATCCTCTTTCCGGGTCTTGCTATAGTGTGTTTAACTTCTGCACCCAAGAGCTTCTCCCAGATGCCTTATGGCATCTTTGAGTGTATTCCTACTGCTCTGTCCCTGCTGTGACTTGTGGAAGATGTGTGCCAAAATATGTTTCAGAGTTCTGGGGAGCTGATGCGGGAGATGGCGATTTTGTTATATGAATTTAGTCTCTGATCATGCATTTTCATTGTCTCTTTTCATTCTGCTGGAGATACTGTGGAGTTCAACGGTTCCTGGTCGAACCATGCACACTGAGCTGGTGTTTGCCTGAGCAGTGACAGGTATTCTTGCCAGTGTGCAGATGCCTTTGTGAAACAGAACGTGGGGAAACGGTGAAGTTTGGGGTTTGCTACCCACTGGCGCTGGCCAGGTCCCAGGCTTCAAGGTAGATGATGTTTCTTTTGGAGGAGGTAAGGGACCTGTCACCCTTTTCTCCTTTCCAACACAGTGGAGGAAGGTAAATAGTGGCTCTTAGGGCTGGCAGCTCTCAGATGCAGAGGTATGCAGGAGCCCGTTCTTTCCCAGCTGATGTGTGAGCAGAGGCATCACCATGGTGGTCCAGGCCCCAGGATCTCTCAGGCCAGTTTGAGGGTAGCTCAGTGTAGCAAGAGAGAAGCATGTATTGTCAGACGGATGTTTCTTCTTAGAGTCAGCATTTTTTTCCAAGTGCTTTTTGAGGAAACTTTGAACTTGGCAAGGGCCAGCATGTGTGGAAAGTATTAAAATCTGCAGCTGTTTCAAAAAGGAAAGACCCACATTAGAAATATATATAGCATTTTTAAAGCAAGTTTAGTGCCCTGGAAAAGATTTCTAAAATGAACTAAACCCTGTGGATCAGTAAGAATATTTATTTTGTGCTCTGTAGTAGCCTGGCACTGTGCATTTAGCACTGTGTTTATGAATTGATATTCATCAGTGACCTGACTCTGTTACAAACCTTAGCTCCACTGAGACCTCTGGTATGTTAAAGCTATGCCATTTTCCTGGCATCAAGATACAGAATAACCTGTCTTACAAGATTGTTGGACCATTTGTTTCTTGTATTTTAACTGTGTGTTTATCGCATTGGACTCTCTCAGCAAGCAGTGGCTTCCTGGGAGCTGTTTCCTGGGGAGAAAAGTAGGTTTCTCGTGGTTCCAAGGTATGATTTAGCACCATTTGCAGTTCCTAGGCAATATCCTCAGTTAGTAATTTGGAGCTGAACCGTCAGCTCTGACTTCTGTCTTTCTAAGCTGCAGTTTTTGAGATTATTTTCATGTAGCTATTCCAGCAAAGGAATAAAATCTGTTCGACGAAGTAGAATGAAGTGCATGTGGATTAGATACATACCCCTATGTATGCATAGTATGTGAGCAACCATATGGGACTGTGTATGCTGGTATGTCAATCTAGTTATAAAGCAGTTAAAGGGGAAAAAAAAAAGCAGTGTGCGCAGACAGTTTTGGCACTGCAGCCCTGGGAAATGGCAGCCAGCCAGAGAGAGCTGAGGCAGGGCCAAGACTATCCGAAGAATATCAAATGCTGAAGTTGGATGTAGCTCCTTCTTCGCTCTAGTTTCACTCCTCACCCTGTGGGCCTGCAGCTTGGCAGCTCTGTGCCAGGTAGATGCTGATAATTTTGCAAGGCAGAACTGGAGATAGGGACAGATACACTGTGGTGTGTATGTGCACGTAATCAAATGCCTATTAAATGAAAGGCACAATTACCCACAACTGAAATCTGACCGCAGTGAGTTTAACTGTTGCACTCCCCAAGTCCTTGTTAGACTTTGAAATGTTCATTCGATCATAGTTCTTTATCTTTTTTTGGTGTTGTGTTAGCACTGGAGATGAAGATAAAAGTGCACCTAGTATGGGTTGTGCACTGTACGGTTTAATCTTAAATTTGCTCACTTAAGTTGAGTGAATTTGTGAAGCACGTCCAGCAGAGGGCACTAAGATTGTTGATCTCACGCACCAGTCCTCCTTGGTACCGGTATGTAATGGGAGAGTGTAAAAGCTGCCTGTCAGTACAATATGTGCTTCACCCCCCTCCTCTCATTGTTTTGTAGACTATCATAAAAGAGGGGATGCTGATGAAACAGACCAGCTCCTTCCAGCGTTGGAAGAGACGTTATTTCAAGCTGCGAGGACGAACGCTCTACTATGCAAAAACTGCTAAGGTAAGGTCTTGATAATACATGAATCCAAGGGAAGAAGGTTGTGGGAGCTTTGGAGGCAGATGGGTGTCTGTGAGAAGGCAGCCCTCAGTAGGTGAAAGAGCACTGTTCTTTAAGCACCTGTCTTCAGGTTTTGTGGCTACTAGAAAACCCCTGTGTCTTGCCTCGCTCTCAGAAATCCTTGGGTTTTAAGTAAAGCGTCATATGGACCTGTGATACTGATACATGCCCCCTCTCCCTCCCTCCCCCTTGGTGCATTTTAGTAGGGAATGGGCTCTGAATCAATAGAAGCTGACAAAGAAGGGGGGAAATGTAAATGAAAAGAGGAAATGGAGAAGAGAAGCAAGGTTAGAATTTATCAAATCAGAGCTACCATGCATCTGGTTCAGTACACTGATAGTCAGCTTAATATAAATCTGTTTGTTTTCACAAGAACAAAACCTGTTGTATTTTAAAATCCTTTAATAAAAATAAAGTTGTTGTGTTCACTGACTGAAGACAGGCAAGTACAAGTCCCAGTGTATAGAACTAGACATCCAAGTCCTTCATGTTGGATCTTTCCAATATGTTGGATCTGTTTTGCTGGGTCTTTCCTTCAGATCACAAAAGGTTGTGATGGAGCATGCTAGGCAGACATACAGGCATGTCCCTTTAGGTCTGCTGCTTCTACATTGGATTCAATAATTCATTTTTAATTTTTTCTTTCCAGTCCATTATTTTTGATGAGGTGGATCTGACAGATGCCAGTGTGGCAGAATCCAGCACCAAGAATGTCAACAACAGCTTCACGGTAGGACTTTTTGCATTATTTTCCATTCTTGCATCTTTCCCCCACATCTCATCTCTTCTGCAGAGCTTAAAAACATCTGAACAATCTTTGCAGCCTCTTTCACTAAAAAAAAACCCCACTTGTTTTTCTTCATAACATCATAATTCATCTCCGTGCAAATGGGAAACACCATGGGTTACTATGTATAGTGCTAAAACTTTGCATTCAGGTATTTTCTTAACTATAAGCTAGGAGGATTTGGTAGAATCCATTTACCTAGTGGGACAGAAAAATCTGTTCTGCTGAAGGAGTTAGGGGTGATATTGATGTTTATGCTGGAGATCTTGCTAAAGGAATTTAGCTTTCCCTTCAGGCCTTAAAATATGACTTATTCCCTGACATTTATTTGTGTGTGGCTGTATGTGTGTTTATATATGCACACTATATATAGTGGCAAAGAAAAAGTAGGAACAAAAGTCATAGAGAAATAACTGTGGAATTGGTTTAGAATACTTGTTAGATGTGAAATATGTTTGGAAATATGGTGGTGTCACTACTTAATTTTCTCCAGGCTTAGTAACTGGGAGAAAAAATGATTGTATTGCTGAGGTGCGGGTGTTCCACAAGCTCCATTTTGGGGGAAATGCCTGGTGTGCAGAAAAAAGCCTTTAATAGCAGCCATGCAGGGTGAGTGTCAAGCAGCGCTAATGGCAATAACCTCCATGCACCCTCTGGAGAGCTCAAAAGGGAGGAAAGAGGAGGATGTGGAGAAAGGAAGTAGCAAGGTGAAATGGGAAGCAGTCCAGGTGGAGGGAGGATCTGATACTGTAGGATGGTGACCAAGGCTAAGTTTGCACTGCAGCAGTAGTGATCTACTGCTTTAAACATCTGGCAAAGGATGTTTCTGTTATGTAGCTGTAGCTTTTTGCTTTGCAGTACCTGTGCAAAGCAGCTATGCTGCCCACCCTGTGTCCAGATGAAACCACAACACTTCCTCAAAGTTTGAAAACACTTCCTGCATCCATAATTGGACAAGTAGGAGACACATTTGGGTCTCATAGTAAATATAATAAGGTGTCAGTATGTGCGCACAGAGAGAAGGATTCTGCAGTGATTTCAGTAGGGGATACATTTTCAAGAATTTGAAGTTATTTACCTGCTAATAAAGCATTTCTCTCCTGGTCTTGCTTCAGTTTTCCCATATGTAAACAAAGACTGATTTTTCAGGTTATTTTTTTGCTTATTGCTATAGTTGGGAGAGATCTGACTGTCAGGTACACTGTGTAGGAACAGGAGGAAATTGTGTGTGCTCTCTGATTGCCCCATCTGAGTCCAACAGTGAAGAGTTACTTCCATGATTATGGTATCAGGCTTTGCCTTCCCTAGAGTGTAAAAAGTATAGGACTGCTTTGATGCTCAGGTAGCAGATAGAGTTTGCACAGTCTCAAGCTGATCACTGTATCATGGGGCTCAGGTAAACTTCGAGAAAAACATCTCTTAATTTCTATCTACTCTTTCTATCATGGCTTACAGAGGGGTTTGACTGTGGTTTACCAGAAGCTATAAAAATACTTAGAAGGTTGCCTTGCTTTGCTGCTGTTGGTCTGCCACATCACTGCCGTCAGTGCTTTGGATTCCTTACAGTCTTGCAATTTCCTCTTGTTTTTATTTGAGAGCACTCTGTTTCACCGTGTATATCCCCAGCTTGGTTCCTTTCTGAAATTCAGTATTCTTTGATGCTTTTAATTTTTTTTTATCTGTTTCAAATGAGTGGGACTTATTGAATTTTTATCCTAAACCAAAAACATCCAACATTTAGTTCTGTATTGCTGAGACACTTATTCTAGAGTTTTAGGTGTTGTGGTTTTCTTTTGGTTGTTTTTTTCAATGGAGACTGGTGGTTTTGGATTTATGAAAGAGTGGTTGCTTTCTGAGGAAACTCATCCTCTATCCAGACATCGGTACTGCTTAATGTATAGATTCTGAAGGTCAGGTTGCATTAATGACACTTCTGAAGTACTAACAGAAGAGGTGGGAAGCAAGCACTAGATAAACCACTCTAGAGGAGCAGTGTGGATCCAACACAAGGAGATAATAATCATGACAAGTCAGAGGAGAAACTGATGGAAAGGACAGTGAGGAACATGGAGAGGCAGCACCATGAGAGAAGTAAACCAGAGCACGGAGCCAACAAAGGTTATGTCACATAAATAAAGTAAAAAAGGTTAAAAAGATAGCTGCCAGTAAGCCTTTTATGTAGGACATAAGTCTGACAGCTGATTTGTTTGCTGTCAGCAGGCAGGAGAGCAAGAAAAGCGAGTATTAAGACAGAGACCTCTTTCTCTAAAAAGAAGAGTGTGTGATACAGGTTCCACTGTTCACCTAGTTCATCTTGCGAATTTCTTCAGTAAGTGTATCCTGTTTGGGGGCAGTTTTCAGGACTGCTACCCAGAGTTAGTGGATATGTGACTACAGAATGGGCTGGGAGCACATGACTAGGGAGATCTTTGAGCTTAAGGTGTCGTACAGCTCTTGTCCCCTGAGAGGTGTAAGGAAAAGCTTTATGTTTAGCTATTGTTCCTTTAGTTCAGGTCAGGCAGAGTAGCTGCAGAGTTATTTAGCAGGAAGCTTCTGGGAACAAATCAGATAGGAGCCCCATGCCAGACCTCTCTCAGGAGGGCTGTAGATGTAATACTTGCTGCTTCTGTCACATCTCTGCCACTGGTGTCCTTCTAAGTCATCTGTCTAGAAGGTAAATTCTTTTGGGATGCCTGGGTTGTAAGTAGCTGATTCTTTCTATATATGGTCCCATAGTACCTGATGCATAGATGTCTCACCAGTGGATTTTCTTAGGGCTGCTGTCTTTCACAATGCCTTAAGAGAGGATCTGCTGTGGTACAAACTCAATGATCTCAGAATCACAGAATTGTTAGGGTTGGAAGGGACCTCTGGAGATCATCCAGTCCAATCCCCTGCCAAGGCAGGGTCACCTTGAGCAGGTTACACAGGAACGTGCCCAGGCGGGTTTTGAATGTCTCCAGAGAGGGAGACTCCACGACTCCCTGGGCAGCCTGTTCCAGGGCTCTGCCACTCTCAACATAAAGAAGTTCTTCCTCATGTTGAGGTAAAACAACTTCTGTTTTAGTTTATGGCCATTGCTCCTCATCCTGTCACTGAGCACCACTGAGAAGAGTCTAATACCATCCTCTTGGCACCTGCCTTTGAGATATTTATATGCATTAATGATAACCATGTTGTCCTGGTACTTCAGACCCGTTTATTTCAAAGATAGTGATCAGCTTTTAGCCTGGATTCTTGCCATTAGTGTGTGCCTACTTTTGTACTCCTTATGCAAGAGAGATCAGCAGCGTTGGATGGGTGAGGTCAAAGCCTGACCCTGACTTTTGAGCAGAGCTTTCCCAGCCATGCCCTCAAAACGTGTTGTGACTTCTGAAAAGCAGATGATTTAGGATCATACTGGGTGCATTGGGTGTTTTTTTCTTGGACAGTGCAGTTTTGCAGTAACTTTATTTGTGGATGTGCTCACCTAAGCATTAGCCTGCAGTTGCTTTAGGAGCTTTAAAATAAAATACATGATGAGGATGAGTTCCATACTTTGAACCTGGAATAGTTTTTTTTTCCAAATCATTCCAGGAAGCCTGGGTTTTGGAGATACAAAATTACTTGCTTTACCTGTGTCATGGACCTGAACTAGCCAGCATGCCCATTCTATCCTGTGAAGCCTGTGAGGTTTAGGGGGCACCAATGGCTCTAATTGTCTGTTGCTCAGGCCAACACTTTGCCACCACAGCTATCTGCTCAAGAGTCTGTGAAGGGACTTTGGGTCATTTCTTTAGGCCCATTTTTCTAACTGTTTGTGTGGTGAACAAATTCTTACTCCTCAGGTTGGTTGGTGTGTTGCTTGAAGATCTGCCCTCTTCTAGAAGGTGCCAACTGAATTAAGCCTGCTGCCTTCAGTGCAATTGGCACAGCTGGGGGACTGATCACTTCATTGACCCTTTCCTGCTTTGTGCAGGATTTGTATAAAGCTAAGGGAGGAAAAGAACCCTAAAATATATGTTCTTTAGTACTAGTAAAAACTACCTGTCATCAAGAGGAGAGGGCCAAAGAAGGACATCAGATCTTTCCAGGTACATATTTTGTGTTTCAGTACGATTCTCATGTGTTGCAGTTATTGCTAGCAAATGGTGGTGTGGACTTTTGCCCTCATAATTCACGTAACATGAATTGCAACATTCACTTCCCATGCCATTTTATTTAGAGCCTTGAAATCCCATAGGAGGAAGCTCCTCTCTGTGGAGGGACATGTGTGGTTTAATCTTTCTGATGCTTTAGTGGAAGCGAAGCAAAGTCAGAGTGCCAGGAGCTATGCTGCTGACCCCTCCTCCCTAGTTAAAGGCTCTTCACTGGAAGAGGTGGAGCTTGAACTCCTGAGCTCCTGTAAACCCTTTTTTTGTTGGGAAGTACCTCTCAGCACAGCCGCAGACAGGAAACAGCATATTACTACAGTCAGCGCCTGCCTCTCCACTTCACTGCCGTCAGAAGGAAACTTATCCCAGCTCCTCCTTAAGCAGACAGCTAATCAGCTTGTGGCAAGTGGAACATAGCTCTGGAAGGCTGACCACAGAGGAGACTAATCCTATTGATTGCATGTCAAGCAATCTGTTCACGTTTCTTTTTTCTGAGGAAATAGGCTGCTCTGGACACTAGATTAGAAGAAGATTGAACGTGAAAGGTAAGAGCAGGAGTCCCAAGTTTTCTGGACTGAGCATTGAGAAACATGGCACCTGTGCCAGCATACCAGAGCATCAGGACCTCAGGTTCTTTGGAATAAGTTTGCTATAAGCTTGTACTGTTCAGGTGTTGTCTAATGTGTGGATTTATGTAGGTAAGTTCACCAGTGCAAGGGTAGAGGGAGTTGTGTCTGCAATGCTGTTGGAACTGCTGCACCCATCAGTTAAGAAAAACTGTTTATTAACTGATGATTCACCCTCATCAGT